TGTCTCTTTAATGAAGTATGTCATTATTGAAAATTATTTGGTCCCCCCAATTAAATATTCTAGATCCTCCACTGTTTCTGATGTGATAAAATATGAAAAATTATTATTATTTTGGAAGAAGAGGACACAAAATTAAAATATCAAATAATTTAAGGATAATAATAATTTGAAAAATGTACGTATTTTATATGTTCAATAGTGTATTTATATGCTTGATTTATTTGGACTTTTTTTTTTTCCTTTCGACATATTTATTATTTGGATAAAATTATATTTTTGATGTTTTATATTTTATTTTCCAAAATTTTGCAGTATGCTCGTGAATCTAAATTATTGGACAGAAGTCAATTATCGGGGAGACGTCAGCCAACCACATTGAGACCCAACACTACTTCATTTTCGCTTTGGCCCAATTCTATAAGGATATGGAAATTAATGAGAAAATTACCTCACCTACCGTGAAGATTAATTTTATTTACACATACACAAACCCTAATTTTTATTTGCATCTATACGAATATCTTTATATTTATTTGCAATTATATGATTCTTTATCTCTCATCTTTTTTTCTTATTTCTTTCCTTTCTTTTCTCGTGCTCTCCCATCTTCTCCTTCTTCCAGTTTCTCACCATCTTCTTCTATCATTCTCTAGCCTTAAAAAATTATCATCATTAAAATTTAAAATTAGCCGCAGATTAAAGAGTACTAAGCCACTACCGCTACGACGAGCGCTCGGGTCTTTCCAAAGTTGGAGCAGATCTGGTGAGATTCCACCAATAAGCAGATCTCATTCAAACCAGCCAAGCCGTCAACCAATCAGACGGACCATCATCCAAGACCGCTGTTGTTGTGATTATTTTTGTTACGTTTTTTATTGTTATTTTACATTTATTTTCCCTCATTTTTAGGTCTTTTAGAAGGTCTTTCGGTCCATTTAGTTGTTTTTGGTTATTTTTGTTGTTCTAGTGTTTATTGTGTATTTTGTGGTTTTTCGTGTGTTTTCGTGTATTTTTGTGTGTTTTTGTGTTTTTCCGGTTTTTGGTGTAATTTCAGGTATAATAAGTCTGGATTTTCGAGAGTTATCATTTCCGACGCATTGGTATCGAGCCCCGTGAAGATTTGAGTTACAAGATAAATTGCTCCTTTGAGCATAGCTGGAAAGAAGAGCTCGTTAGTAACGCGTAGGAGAAAACGGAACTAAATTTCGAGTCCGAATGATCCCAAACGAGAAAAAACCGTAAAGCCGCGCAAGCTGTCCAAGCCTCGCGCCGCGGCCACTTTTCAGCATAACTTTGGGGCAACTTTTGTAACTAATTATGGCCAGTATATGACATTGAATTGAAGAGGGGTTCGTTAGCTACGCGTAGGAGAAAACGGAACTCAATTCCGAGTCCGGACGAGCCCGTACGAGCCAAAACCGTAAAACCGCGCAAGCTGCCAAGTCTTGTTCAACATGGGCGGCGCCCACTTTTCAAACATGGATGTTGGGCGGATTTTGGAAGATTTTGGGCTGATTTTTGATAGATATGCTAGCCATTAATACATAATGATCTTAAGATGATTTTGATGTGATTTTGTCCCCTCTTGAACTAGTATAAATACATCATTTGTGAGAGGTCTTAAGGGAGAGTTCGGAAAGGAAGTTTTAGCTTGAGTTCTTAGATACAAATATTAGAATTAGTACAAACACTTTCTAGTGTTCTTGATGTTCTTGTTCTTGTTTTTATTTTCATTTGGTACTTGAAACACTTGTGTGTGTAATTTTATTTTATGTTGTGAGTTAAAATTCGAGTGTTTATCCAGTTAAAATCCGAGTGTTATTCTGTAAATTCCGTTCCGTTAAGACGTTATAAATTTATATTCCGATTATTGTTATTGCAGTCGTAATTATTCTTATTGTTCCTAAAGGAATGATTATGAATATTATTACTACAATAATAATAGTTGTGGATACTTATATATATATATATATATATATATATATATGTTATAAATATTAACTATTATTGCTTAATGTTATTGCTTATTTCTACTGTTGTAATTTTATTGCTTTATTTACTTTACGCACTTTACTCCCTGCCAATTACTTATCACATATATATATATATATAGAAATATTATTATTATTATTATTAGTATTATTATTACTATTATTACTGCAATTTACTTTCTGCACTTTACTTTCTGCAATTTACTTTCTGTTTATATACTATTATTACTACTACTACTATTATTATTATTATTATTATTATTATTATTATTATTATTACTATTATTATTAATATTATTATTACTATTATTACTACTATTGTAATTTATTTCTGTTATTTACTGTTTTGCTTTTCCAGTTGACTTTCTGTTATTTACTGTCTTTCTTTTCTGTTTCTGTAATGTTATGTAAATTTCTAGTTGTAATCAAGCAAAAATTTGGATTAATTTTCTGCATTATTATATATATAAAAGAAATTGAATTACACATAATATAGTTCGTTCGAAATTGTGAAGTCGTAATTGTGTTGCAATATGCTATTTCCTTGTTTTATCTTTATTTTTGTGTCATTTATATTTCTAGGTAGATTTATGTTTATGTTATTTATTAGGTAATAATCAAAAACCAATCTTTGATTAGAATGTTTAGGATTTATTTTTCTTTTATGTGTATCAACACCACTTCTAAATTCCGAACCGCCTTCCTCGAGAGATCGACCCGGGGAACGAATCTTTCGATTCGGTACTCGGTAAAAATAAAAATAATTTGTGCTACAACAGCTGTCAGGTCGCGCCGCTTGCCACTGTTTGAAGCCGGAGACCCTTCGACCGCATACCACCGTCCCATGACCGCCAATTCGCCGTCGGCCATAGAACAGAAAAAATGAATTGATTTTTGAAATTGAAATTTGGTGGGTTGATGGGTAATTTTAAAAGACAAAATTTTGGTGGTCTGCGTAGAAGACTAAGAATAAGCAAAGATGGAAACTGGATGTTGGAATTTTGGATCCGATGGTAAGAAGGCTCGCCAGCAACCTATTAATGTTTTGGCAATCCTGTAGCTCAAAACTTGACTTTGAAGTGGATTTGTTTGATTTGTGGATTGTACATATTGTGATTTCTTTATATTTAAGAAGATTTCAATGTATATTTGATGTTTGTTAATAGTTTGCGTTTGTTAATAGTTTATGTTTGTCAAAATTAAACCTAGCCCCTAATACGTTTTTTTTTTTTTTTTTTTTTATTTTCATTATATATTCGGTATATAATGACAAGATTGATTTATCTTCTGTATATCTGTTGTGTATTTTTTACATCCTATGTATTCAATTAGTATATGTTCTGTATATGTTCCCGACAAATATACTATTATTTAGTATATGTTTCTTTTATAATCAGTGAATATATCATAGGTATATGTTGAGTATATCTTCTGAATTTTAGTATATTTTTCTTTTATAATCAGTGAATATATCATATGTATATGTTGAGTATATAATGAGTATATCTTCTGTATATAAGACTGATCGTGAAACAAAAAAAAATACGAAAAAATAAAATTAACAGGTTATTTCGTATATTTTTTGGACTTATATGTTTTCTGAAAACCACCGTGAAAAATGAATGTGATTCTGATTACTTATTGTTTTTTCATAATTTATTTAGTCTTGTATTGGTTTATTTTTACAGAGATAATTAATATTTAAAGGCAATGAAATAAAGATAAGAGAGAGAAGAGAGGAGAGAGAGAAAATAATGGAGAAGAGAGAGAGAAAAAAAAACGGATGAATAGGTAGTTAAGGAGAATTGTTAAAGTAGATAAATGAGAGAGGAGAGAGAATGTTTTTAATATGTAAATGTTTATGTTACATTAGGTATACGTGCAAATAAATTTTTGGGTTGGTATTTTTACAATTATTTAGCAATCAGTGAAGTAGATATGTAAATTACCCGAAATTAATTGGAAATAAGAAACGAGGCCCAGTTGATAGGTGATGAGTTGTTTCGTGGCATAAAGTGAATGAAGATTAGGAGCTTTCAAATACCTATTTGAGAGGAGGATTTTCATGGAAAATTATCCTAGGTGGCAGCACACATGGGAATGAGAGGACTGTGATTGGTGGATTCTTGGCGAAGGGATTAGGGGTGAAAGAATTATTTGAAAGTCATGACAAAAATCTAAACAAGGGTTAAAGAATTATTTGAAAGTCATGACAAAAATCTAAATACACTCTTTTATAAGGTATATGTCTAGTAATCTCAGTTCAGAACCTAAAATGTCTGTTTGAGGTTATCGATATCGATCTTTCCCTAACTCTGAGTCGATCTAGCTAGTTTGTTGGAATACCTAAAGAAGCATCCGGATCTTTTCGGTTTTTCGCATTAATTTCTTCTGAACTTACAAAAGAAGAGTAAATACATTATTTAATTAGGACTTATTACTTCGATTTTGGTCCTTCTTGCTTATGAAGCTATTCAAGGTGAAGTTGGTGTTTTAGCCGGAATTATGTGTTCAGGCTCAATTTTTTGATCGAATTTAGAATAGCTAATTGAGTTTAATGACACAACAATTCCCTTAAATATGTGGAAACATTAGTTAAATAATAATAATAATACTTTAATTTTCTTTAACTAATTAATCAATCACAATTCTCTTAAATTTGTAAAAACTACATTATTCGTTATACTTTATGCAGTTTATATAATGATTCATATATAAGTAAAATAATTTATAACTTTACTATTTATTTAACAAATGATCAAATTTTATAAAATTCGATAGGTTCATTATATAACTTATGATTTTAAATATAACATTCTTACATTATGATATATAATATTTTAGTTGTATTTCTGCAAATCCACATAATTGAGTAATAAATCAAGGAAAGAAATGTGATTATTATTGCATAAAAAATAAAAGATCATACAATATCTTTCCCATTATAATTCAACCATAAAAAACATAAACTTCATAACCAACATTAAGCACTTCGTTCTTCCTATATAATTAACTGTGAAACTTCCATGCTTGGCACTGTTCATACCGATCTTGCTTATGCTTCAAACACGGCCCGTCTTTGGTCAGCACCCACAGACAAAAATCGTTGCAAAATTCGGAAATTTTGTAGTCGTAAACACCGTAATTCCCATAACCACTCTTCGTTACCAAGTCGCAGTAAAATTTTGTGGTGCCAAAGAAGTTGACGCGAAAATTCCACCCAAACTCTGCCCCATAAGAAAGCCGATGTAACCCTAAATTATCATCGGACGAATAGCAACGGATTGTGACAGAATTATCGCTCTCAATGCCGTTTTTCACCACAACCCTTACCTTCTGCAAAATCGCGGCTTCGGACAATATTGTCATGTGATTATTAGCAAAGAGTAAGAGAAGTAAAGGCATTAGAAATGAAACTAGTGTGCATGTCCTCATGGTTAAAATGGATTTGATTTGATGCAAAAGGCTGTACTATGTAGAACAATATATAGTGATACCGTCTAGAATTATATTTGGAATTTATTTATTTACTTTTTTTTCTTTTTTGTTTATGAAATTCCACTGATAGTTCGATGGATTCCATAAATTATAGTGACATTTTATGTATTTTTGTTGAAAGATTTTTTGGTTTATAGAATTATTTAGATTGCTAAAGAATTATATGAGTTCCCTAGTGAATTATATGGAATCTTATCATTTGTATCATGGAAAAATTGCACAATTTGACCACTAATTATATCCGAGTTGCACTTTCGTTCTTTCTTTATTTATTTTTTACTTTTTGGTACACTATAAGTTTTTTTTTTGTAATTTTCGTCTAAATCGATGTTCTCGTGCTCATTTTTGCCGGAAAGTTGATGTGGCGCCCAGTCGGATTGTGCGCCACATCAGCTTTTCCAACGCCACGTCAGCTTTTCCGGCAAAAATGAGCACCGGAACGTCGATTTGGACGAAAATTGCAAAAAAAAAAAAACTAATAGTATACCAAAAGTAAAAAATAAATAAATAAAGGACGAAAGTGCAACTCGGGTATAATTAGTAGACGAATGGTGCAATTTTTCCTTTGTATCATCATTTTTTTATTTAATTTTAAAATTTCTCTATTACAAATTTAATTTTCTTTTTTCAACTGAAAAAAAGAATTAGAGAATGTTATGAACAATTTCCATATTGAAGCTATTATATAGATGATAAAATAACAATACAATTCCTAAAGTCTATTGTAAACAATTAAATTAATAAAATTTAATTTTCGAATCCTGCATAAACAATTAGACAATGTTATTCTAAAATACATTTATGATCGAATATATATGAAGCAATATCCATGAAATTATTAAAATACCATCAATTAAATAATACATGAGAGAGAATGTTATAATTTTTTATGATCTAATTTTCAAACTTAGAGTGTGAAAAGTTCGATAAATGTTACCTAAATAAACAAGATTAATTTTAGTTATATATATGTATATATTAATATATATCAAAAGATAGATGACTTATCTTAAATATAAGTTCCACTTAAATTTTTGTTTTTACTGTATTTGAGAACTTCTTTTTAAATAGTTAAAACTAATATAATACCGTAAATTAAACGGATGTTTGTTAAAAAAATTATATTTAAGATAAAACACATATTTTAATTTTTGATATTTTTTAAAAAAAATATAGCATTATTATTTATATTTAAAATGATACTGGTGATTTATACAAACAAGTTGAGTGATATTCATGATATGTCCGCAAAAGGTATGCCCACTAATTGCGTGAATCAGTTCACCATTATCCTTGCCATATTGTTTGGGTGATCTTTAATCTATTTGGGCAAAAATCATGTAATCAGTTGTACAATCAATCCAAAATACATATTGTTAACTAGTACTCACCCGTGCGATGCACGTGATGGTATATTTATATGATTTTTTTTTTCTTAATATTAACATTAAATTTAATGGACTTTGTAGATATGTAACACATATAAAATGAAAACAAACAAACTTAAAACTTAATAAATCAGTAAACACTTTTTTGTACACAACGTTTTGGGTCTGATTTGGTGGCAAATCATTGTCATTACAGACTAATATCTTCAACCCAATTCGATTGGTGACACGGGAGGCGGCAACATATAATTGCCCATGGCTGAACACCGACTTCTTAAGCAATAAACCAACATGCGATAGCGATTGTCCTTGGCTCTTGTTGATAGTCATGGCATACGAAACCATAACGGGAAATTGTATCCTCTGGAACTTGAAAGGAATTCTAACATCGGAAGGAGTTATAGTCATTCTAGGAATCAACACCTTCTCGCCTTAATGATCCCCAGTGAGTATCCTACAATCAAGAACATGTGCGGATAGTTTTGACACAACCAACCGTGTCCCGTTACATAAACCTATAGAATGATCCATATTCTGCAACAACATGACAGGGGTTCCAATCTTCAAATGCAACTGATGATTTGGAATTCCCGAGCATTTAATGCTATTCAAGAACTCGGCGTATGGATATCAGAAAGAAAATCATTATTCGAGTCAGACTTGCAAGTACTGTCATAGCTCAAGTACGTATTACCGTCTGATAAGTTCAACGATGTCATGTATTCATTGACGGACTCAACAACATCAAGCGTCGGTATTGCCATGTCCTTCAAATAACTGGGATCATCAGTTGTCTGCTTAAACATTGGATACGTGTTTTCTACAATTTGAGTAATCGGATATTGGATGGTTCAAGCAATATATCCTCAGGTATGTCAATCATTGCACAACCATCGTTTGACCCTCCTATAGTTCCATCACCAATGCTCGCAATCCATTCAGCGAACCGAGCAACCTCTTCACGTTCCTCAGAATCTCTAAGACTCTGTAGACGTATGTTCTTTGTAAGCCTGAGCACAGTACAACTCCTCCAGATGTCAGAAGCATTAATCACAGCATTCACAATATCCTGACAGCTACATAATTAATTTGCAACGTAAACTATATATATAATAACATTTTTTCTTTTGTATTATAATTATAATATAAATAAATCACAAATTCGAAATACCTGCAATCTTTTGTCTTGTCCTACATAATTGTATGATGAGAACCCATGGTTCTCCATTGTCCGCAAATTGGAAGTAATTTTCACAATCAATAAACTCATAAACATAATCACCCCAAATTGTGCAACGCATCACTAATCCACTATTTAGTAAAAAAATGAATTTAATATTAATTATTAAAAAACTTTTATAAATATATAATTAATGTACTGTATATTACTTACTCCAAATCCAAAAGCGATCTTTTTCTTTTCTTCTCCATTATGCAAATCTGAATGAACGGGTTGAACCTCGACGACCATACCAATAGCATCTATAATATATATTAATAGAAAAATTAAATACTATTTTATTAATTAATATATCAACAATAAAAAAATAGATTTGAAAAAAATTTGAATCCACCATAAAATAATAAATAAAAGATTTACCATAAAGGATTGACTCGTCCACAATGTCATCATTTTGAAGAAATTCCAAACTATGGAAGTCGAATTCCCATGTAGGGAAATTAGATAGCACGTGAAGGACCTCGGTATCCCATTAATTATAACTTTGTAGTCTGCATTAGTAGATCGAAATTTACCAATGTTGATCTCTAGTTGGTAGCTGCTAAATATATAGACCCCACCCTCTTCAAGCAACCCAGCAAATATAGGCAGACCACGAACTATACCAGTTATACGTGCTCCCTACAAAACAAAGAAACATTGTTATTGAGATAATAAAAAAAATTAAAAAATAATCAAAATACAAATTCAATGCAATACAATAATCTACCTCCACATCGTGGAAAACAATTTCCCAATTACTTGGGTAGGATGCATGGAAAGATCTATTGAAAATACGAATAGCTCTAAGTTTAAGATTGAAGCTCATATTAATATTGAGTTGTCTGATCAAGCCTGATTGATCCATGACAATTATTTTTTTGTCTACTGATTTTTCACGTGGAGACGATTTTGTTCACACGATGTGAGGATTGAGGCTAATTCTTTATTTATTGGGTTATTTATAGTGGTAATAGGCAAGAATTTTAATTTCGATATTTTGAAAAAAAAATAATATATTATATGACACAAGATATGTATTATATGATATGATATCTATGTGAATATGGAAACATATGTACCATAGGTAACTAAATAATCATTTGTAAATAATTTACATACAAATATTCGGCCGAAATAGATTTTATTAAAAATAAATAATTAAATATTGTTATTTAATTCATAATTTCAAATAGTTCAAGATATGTTTTAAATTAAGAGTACTTATCTCAAAGAATTATATAGTATCAATTAGTTATTTTGAGATGTGGTCAAAATATATTAGTACTTATCTCATAACCCATAATACTAGGCACGTAGAATTGAAAACAATCAATAAGAGCCGTGAGCTACATAAATTTTTCGGCTGTAATTGTGTACTTATCTCATATTTAAATTCTAATTGTATAACACAAAATCCGGTGAAATAAAAAATCAAGAAGTAAATCAACTATATAATATACAACGTGTAGAGTTATTTTGATAGTCCATCTGTTCACAGAGTTTGAAATCTATATATCTAAAGAGATATAACCGAAAGAGAATTGTTATGACACTTCGTGTAATTTATTTTATATAATTATCTAATATTATAATTTAATAATTATAATTTAATATATTTTAAATATTTTCCTTTTTTGTTTGTAGGATAAACAGCTTTTTCTACATTGTCGGCAAATTTTAATAAGTGTTTTTTTAGATATTTATATATACAAAAAAGACAAAAATGTGATTGAACATTGTTCAAGCATGTAATAATTTAATCGAATAAAAAAATAAAATAAAATAAATTCAATAAATTGAAATTGTAAATTATTAAAATTTTCCCTCAATGTTCAATCACAGAACACAAATAAAACAATAAACAACAAAAACGGATATACGAAAAAAATTGAATAGTAAATGAAGTAATAAATTATTATTTTTTTTCCGACAAATTATAATAAGCATTCACAATCGATCAAAACGACATGAAATAAATTATTACCAATATTCAACAAATCATCTATTCAAATTCAAATTATAAAAATTCCTAAGAAAGCCATGCCGCAACCATATTTGCATCTCCCTAGTATTGAGGAAAATTCCCATTGTAGCTAAATACATCAGCCGCTCCATTAAGCACAAGCTTCCAATGGTTGGTTAAAAGGGCATTGTTTCTCCTTGGTTTATATTCAACATTATACCCTCGGATTGTATACACTTCGCCTTGTTTGAGTACATTTCGAAAATTTTTCATACTTGGCGAGCGTACTATTCCAGTGATGTATGAACCCTAGATTTGTTAATTATCAAAAAATTGACAAAAAATAATTAAACATGAAACAGGATGTGAAAATCGTTTGGATGCTCCAGATCGTCATGAGTTTCCATCAGTAGGACTACTCTCAACTTCAAAAAAGGTTTGTTGGATCTGTTGACGGCATCGATTGTATTAAAGAAAGGGTGCCATAATATTTTCTGTGTTTTTTGTATTTTGAAGTCGTCCGTGTTTTGATGAGATTAATGAAAAAGGGTATCAATGTATACCCTTTTATACACGGTGTATATGTATAAAAATGTTTATCTCATCCGATTTTTTGGAATGAATATGTTAGGATAATTACTGAACACGATATTTAAATGACATTCCGTCCAATCTGTACCAAACTAAATGCCTTGAATATTGGAAATAAGTTAGGCATGATTTAAAACAAATAGAAAATCAAGAAAATTGTTAGGATAATTACTAAACACTTGATATTTAAATGACTTGACACCAAACTAAATGCCGTGAAAATTAGAAATAAATTAGGTATGATTTAAAACAAAAAGAAAATCAAGAAAAAGTTTATTATTTTTCGGTTTTTTAAAAGACTTTCCACAAATGGGAAGTCAAAGCTTTTTTGACCAATTTTCTTAAAGTTTCCCTAAATGATTTTTTTACCTTCCTCTTTCAATATATATAGATATATATAAACTAAAAGAAAATAATTCAATCCCAAAATTCATTCGTGTCAACTAGTACGTACCCCGTGCGATGCACGGGAGGAATGTATTAAATGAATTATTTTCACATTCTCTGTCCGTTTAAGTCTAAAAAACAATAGGGTTATCATTTATTTTCCACCTCTTTAATCAGCGTTAAGTGTAGAAAACAATAGGATTATAATCTATATTTCACCTCTTTTAAACAATAGGATTGTAATCCATTTCCACCTCTTTTAATCGACGTTTTTTTAAGCAGAACATTAAATATGAGCATGTTAGGGATAACTTATAAAATAATTAATATATTATCTTACTAACACATTTATAGTAACATAAATTTGATTTTAGTATGTATATTTATTCATTAATATAAGAGAAGATAACAATTTTAGAGCATCTCTAATTATAAATGGATTGCTCTATTTCATTGCCACCTAGCTCCAAAAATCTAATGTGGCATTTAAAAAATGTAGAAGTCTTTCTATATGTAGAAAAATATATAAAATAAATGATATAATATAAAATAGAACATGTCTAAATATTTTTTTCTTCGCTAACCAATTATTATCTTACATGTGTCAAATTATTCCACAATTGACATTAACCATTGGAGACAAAATATTTTTATTCCCTTTCTCCACGCATTCATTTCAAAATATGTAATCAATTTATATATAAAAATTTAAATTTAATGCACGTTAGTATTATTTATTTATGTAATCAATTTAAAATATGTAAATGGATTTAAAATTAAATTGTGTATAAATACTTTACAAAATATAAACACATGTTTTTTTTCGAATTATTCCTAAGTTAATATTGAAGATAAAGTAATAATCTATCTTTTTATAAATCCACACATTTGAAATTTCAAATAAAATAGATTTAAACTTTTAACTTGTGAAAAGAAAGGAATTTGAATTGATTTCAAATTCTTAATCCCTTCAAAATCTCGTACATAATAGGTATATACCAACATGATGCAATCTGATATCATGTTAAAAAAAAAAATCTTATCAACGTGATGCAATCCAATATCATGTTTAAAAAAAATCGTAAATTAATATTGTATAGCATTTATTTTAAGAACTAATTATATCGTAATAACGTGATGCAATCCGCAACCCGATATCATGTTAAAAAAAAATCCTAAATTACTGTATTGCTTATCCAACATTTTAGGAACTAATTATATATATGCTGATTAGAATTGTATATGCAAAATTTTAGGATGTTTTAAATGCTCCGTCTGTTGATTTAAATGCTCCTTCTTTTTCTCCATATAAAAAAATATCCTAATATAGTATGTAATAAATGTTGTCTAAAAATTTTTAGTTACTATATTTAGTAAATAGTAATTTTTATTATATATATAGATATAGATATTAAGAATCAAACAAATACAAAAGCTAGTGTTTGAGAATTCTTCTGTTCTCCAAAGCTAGAATTCTTTTATGTATTGTGTACTAGACTTGTGAGGAATTCCAAATGATCGGCCTTACATAAGATATATTGTGTAGATATGAATTCACATATTAAAAAAAGAAAAATGTTACAAGTACATAATAAATGTATATAGAGGTGTATAAAATACTCACATGGAGTGAGTTCTACGTGATTTTTTATTTTTTGTAGAACCCACTTAATGTAAGTGTTATGTACACCTCCATGTACAATATTATGTACCTATAGCATTTCTTTTAAAAAAATATATTTAATTCTCAAAATTCGGATTGAAGACTCTTGATACCTCTTGTTGGAATATAATTAACCCAAAAAGAAATTAATCAAATCCCAAAATCCATTCATTTGAAATATTAAGAATCAAACAAATATAAGAACGGGAGCGTACCTTAATTAGTGTTTGAGAATTCTTCTCTTCTCCTAGACTGAAATTCTTCTATGTATTGTGTACTAGACTGGTGAGGACTTCCAAACGATCGGACCTTACAATAGATATATTGTGTAAATATAGTCTTGAGTCAAAAGACTTGATATTAATGGTGTGTTAGGTGCTTTGATATGTTACTAAACTTATTTAAATTTGTATGATTGATGTGAGCAAGTTGATTATTATTATTCTCTGTTAAGTTATGACATCTCGTACTTCTATCTCTGCTGATACCAACAACATTCATAAGTTCAAGGGTTTCAATTTTTTTTTTTTATCCCGCTAAAGATCTATATTTGATACGGGAAATGCAATATTTATGAGGATGTTGAGTTTGAGGGGAGAAATAAGGGTAGGTCACCATTCCTTTGAGGAGAAATCATGTTCGATTCATATTACAGCTTCTGACAATGTGCAGGTCTCTATTCATGTAATTAGTCGAGATGTAGATTTAAAACCTCAACAGAATAGTGTTAAAAATCTTTCAACTCAAACTGATTCGATTATTCAAGATGAACAAACTTAACAACCTCAAGAATTTATGCCATTAAAGAGATCCACTTGAGAGTGAAGGAATGTCAATCTTGATTATTATGATTTTTCAAGAAAAATGAGGTAAATAATGACTTGAAAGAAAATGATCTTATGGCATTAGTAGTACATTTTGATCTTGCGTTTCATACAAGTCCGTTGGAGTTTTTATCCAGAAATTCTATGGCGCCCATATGGGCACCATATGGTACCATAATCTTCACGATCTAACGCCTAATATTCATTGTGGAATTGATAGAATGGATATTAGGCGTTGGATCGTGAGATTATGGCACCATATTTCCTTGCGGAAAATGTCGTCTAAAAATGAATTAATCTTATTATTATTTTTTTATTATATATATTGATGTTATTGGATGAGGAAAAATTTTCCCCCATTTTATCCACTCGCACCTTCTTGAAGATAATTTGATAATACCAAACATACTTGTTCTTCCCAGCCGTTGGAAGGACAGAAAATTTTTGCAGGGGAAGCAAACCCAGAGCTCAAAATACAACCTACGATTTGTTTTTTCAATGTTTGTAAATCTTATCCGATGAGCTTCTTCTCAAGAATGGACAGTCTCTGTCTTGGCACAAGCACCACCGCCAACAGTTTCTCCGCGCTTCAATTCTTCTCGCAGCCCTCCATCCATGGCATTGGTAGGAGCTCCAAAATTCTGAGGTTTCCTATCAGAAAACCTCGAAATACTCTGGTTCTTGCATCAAAAGATAAACCCGAGCTGGACGAGTGGGATCGAATGGAGCTTAAATTCGGTAGAATGCTTGGGGAGGACCCCGAACTCACCATGGCAAAGGTCCCTTTTGTTTTTTTAATTTTTTTTTTTTTTTTGCTTTAAATTTTGTAATCTGGAACTTGTGAACAAAAGTTTACCACGTAATACGGATTGTGCGAAGGGAATTTCGACAGTATGTTCATTGAATTTTAGTGCTTGTGGTGTTCTTTTATGTTGCCGTTTCTTAGGCGTTGAGTGAGAATATAGTGTTGCCTTGTTCTGTTGTTCACTGGAAATTTGGATAACGTTTCTGTTATTTTAATTTGCTTGTTTGAGAATATGATTAGATGGGCCTTCTATATTCACTTAGCTGCATTAGTCTGCAACTCAATGTTTTCTTAAGTTCATTTGAATTTTTCAGATAATGGGGAGGAAGTCGAATCCGGATTTGTCTTATTTGGAAATTGAGAAGCTATTTTACAAACGGAAAGGACGGAAGGGCAAGACATCGAGTGATGAAATAGTTGATATCCCGTTTGATCTGTCTGATGAAAAGAAGTCTAAAATATCAACACAAGGACTAAATTTGGTCCGTCCTGTTCCAAGGAAAGGAGTTAAGTTCGAAGCAGTTAACAATGGCCGACCTGTAAATTTGTCTGATGAAAAGAAGTCGGCAATATCCACACAAGGGCTGAGTTTGCTTCGTCCAGTTCCAAATAAAGGTATCAAGTTTGAGGCAACTGATAAAATGTCAAAAACCAATGGTGAAAACTCTACCCGACCAGAGAAAAAATCTGCGGACGAGGTCAAAAGCAGCGTACCCAATGTTATTTTGCGAAAACCAAGTTTGGTTAATGAGGATGTTGATGGTGCCAACGGGAAAAAAACTTCAAGGTTTGGCATGAAACCAAACTTGTCTCTAAGAATGGGGAACGAGATGCAAAAGGAGAGGTTTAGTGATATCACACTGTTGAAAAAGCCCGAGCCAATGACCATAAGTAATGAAGTGAACAGCCAATCTGATTCTAGTTTTGAAATTGAAGACGAGGATAATGTCATCACTTTCAATAAGGAGAGAGAACAAGAGTCATCAGAGGATCTCACTGAGTCTAACTTCAATGCTGTTGTCACTCGGGACGAATTTTTTACTTCCGAGATAGTGACTTTCAAGGAAACTAGTAAAAAAGATTCTGAAGTGGATGAGTCGTCTGCAGGAGGTAGTTTGATTAGTTTGCAGTTAGGCTATTTACGATATAAGGCATGCTGTAGGGAAATTGAGGATATTAAGCTTGAATAAACTCTTGGTTCCTTTTGAAGAATTACAGGCAGATATGTCGTCTGGAGGAAAAACATTTGCTACTGATGGATCTTCTGGAAGTATCAATTCAATGCCTATGGATTCTGCGCTTAAACAAAAACCAAAACGGTAATGTACTTTCTCCCTCTCTCTCTATATATGTGTGTGTCTGTGTGTGTGTGTGTATTTAAAATTGATTGTTTTATACTTATACTTGTTTATAGATTAGATCGCCCGAGTAAAGCAACATCTCAGAAGGTTCTCAAAAATCCTGAAAGCTTTGGCAATCCCTCAGGACTTGAGAACTTCATAAAAAATTCACCCATTAAGGTTGGCGACCAACACATCAGGCAATGGAGAAGTTTCTTACATTGGATTCTGATGGATTGTTGTGTGCTTTTGTAGGAACGTGAGGAAGGAGACTGGACCAGGGCCGAAAAGATGGTCCAGACAGGGGAAAGAGAAGAAGTTGAACTGATTAGTTCCAGTACTGGAGGATTTGCTGTGAGTTAACTTGGTATATTTATAGAAATTGGACGGGGTTTTATCCTTAAAACATCTTAGAGCTTAAGATGTTGTTGATCTTTATTTTGAAACCAAGCCATTTCTGTGTTTGCGCCAGAAATAAAATTTTAGAAGGGATAAGATGTTAAATTTGGCATTTTAGTTCTTAAAATTATCTATTATAACGGTGTTGCGGAAGCTATATCATCATTTGAGAAGGAGTCGGGATATCCCACCTTTTCTGAAACAGTTTATAAGCTTTTTAACGTTATATATTATGTGTGTGTGTGCACATGTGTGCGTGTGTTCGATAAACCAGTCCCTTTTACAGAGCTTATAGTCATTGAAGTATGTTAAAAGGTGCTTTGAACTTAGACAAACACCATCTTAGTGTCAACACTTCTAGTTTAACATTAGAAATATTCTTTTTGACCATTCAGCTTCCTCTACAGGTATCTTTTGGTTCCTTGACTGGATTTCTACCTCACCGCAACCTTGGTGCTCGGTGGAAGTTTTTAGCTTTTGAGTCATGGTTGAGAAGAAAAGGTCTGGACCCATCTAATTACAGGCAAAACCTGGGCATAATTGGAAACTATGAAGCTAACAGCATGGGCGATACCTCTGAGCTAATATTAGATCCAGAAAGTGGCCCTAAAACTGCAATAACACCGGATATGAAACTTGAGGATCTGCTCATGATTTATGACCAAGAGAAACTCAAATTCATATCATCCTTTATTGGTCAGGTTTGGACAACTATTTTCCAGGACTAAAACCTTAGTTTATTTTAGCTTTTGTAATACTTATCTAGTATCTCTTTGCTAGTAGAAAATCAAAGTGGGTGTAGTATTGGCTGACAGAAATTCCCAGAGGCTAATATTGTCCCTCAAACCACGAGAGAATGAAGAATCGGCCAAAATGAAAAGGAGTCTCATGGTAACAAATTCTTTTCCAACTGGCAGCTGTTACTTTTAGTAATTTTTGGTGCATTGAGTCAGATTTGAGTGTTATCCAACATAAGTTTCTTATTGATTATACATTTTCATCAGTATCTCAGACATGAATGATTAGAAGATTGAGGCAGAGGGTCATATTTATGAAATTGACCCAGTTGATTTGAATTTCAAAGTAATTGAAATAATTTCTAAAGGTTGTCAGGTTTTCCTGTTATAGCTTCTTGACCTTGAATGCTATTCTATTTCACAGGCACGACTAAATGTTGGAGATGTAGTCAAGTGTTGCATTACAAAGGTCACATATTTTGGTATCTTTGTCGAGGTAGGTTAATCAAATTTCATATGACCAATCAATCAATCAACAAGCCGTTAAAATCCCACTAAGTGGGGTCGGCTATATGGATTGCATGTCGCCATCGTGCTCAATCAGAACACATATCCTCATTCAAATTTAGATATGACCGCCGATGTATAATTTCTTTGATGGTTAATTATAATCTAGCATTGGATATGTAATTGATTGAAGCTCCAAAAATGAAGCTTCAAAGTGGTTAACTGCTGAGTCGTATGGGTATTCAAATCTAGGTTGAAGGAGGGGTACCAGCACTAATTCATCAGTCAGAAGTTTCTTGGGATGCCACCTTGGATCCTTCAACATACTTTCAAGTTGGCCAGGTATGCTGGCTCTGGCAGCTTAAGAGGGTGTTTATATGAAATCATTCAAATCTGGAAATAGTGTTTGCTGTTGGTTTTCAAAAATGTTTTTTGAACCTCCCAAAATAAGATTCTAGATGCGTATAAGCTGGTTGTTTTATGGTTGGGAGATTTCTTACTTTTCATGAGATAAGATAAATGTTACAACCTTGTCTAGTTTTGATTATTTTAATAATAAAATCGCCCATCAGCAACAAGTTGAAAGCTCCACCGATTTATTTTATCCAAACACTTGAACAAGTTATTTACGAAGTGAAATCTTTATCTGACATGCTCCAAAAACTATATTATGCGATCTTTTAAATAATTATAGCGTTACACGCACTAAGTTTTAGGGTCCTGGTTGTGCATTCTATTGGCATTTTTTTTTTTTTTTTTCTCCCGAAGAAAAGAAATTATGGCCATATTATAATAAATTGATGTTTTTAATACTTCAATTTTTATGGGTTTCTTTTTCTCCAGACGGTTGATGCGAAAGTTCACCAATTGGATTTTTCACTTGAACGTATATATTTGTCTTTGAAGGGAATCACGGTAACTCTTAACCATGTCCTACGACATTATGTCGCCAGAGAAGAAAACTGTAATGGAAACAAAATGTTGTTTATTCTTTTGTTTGGCAGCCGGACCCACTGATGGAGGCGCTGGAAGCTGTTGTTAGCGATCACAATTCTTTGGATGATAGACTTGAAGCGGCTCAGGCAGATACTGAGGTTTACATTTTTAAATATTTACACCATAACTCCATTGCATTTTCCGCAACTCCGGTTTCTTTTGTCAGAAACATAGCTAATTTTTTCAAATATATTCATTACAAAATTGTGTAGTGGCCAGATGTGGAGTCACTCATCAAAGAATTACAGCAATTTGATGGAATTCAATCTGTGTCGAAAGGACGTTACTTTTTAAGCCCTGGTTTGGCGCCTACATTTCAGGTGAGTTTAGTTAGTTGATATTACTGTGAGGTTTTATTTTTAAAAATAACCTTGAGGTTTTATATTATAAGAACAACAGCTTTTCCTTAAACATTGCAAATACACCCTTGAATACTTAATCTTACCACTTGCAACTTGTAATGGTATACTCATCAAGAGACTGGAAATCCCATGGCAGTGTTTGTAATACCACAAGGTGATATTTGTAATTTTTGAAAGATAATAAGTTAAAAAAAAAAAGGGAAATTAACCCGCAAGTTTTTTTAATAGTTCCGCAATTGATTTGACAAATCAAAGAACGTAAACCGTGAAGCTTAGCATCTCCAATGGAGATTGTGATGTATGACATGGAGAAAGAGAATTAAAAATTTTTGTCTCCAATGGTTAGTGTTAATTGTGGTGTCATTTGTGATGTGTAAAATTGTAATTGGTTGGAGAAGAGAGATAAATTGAATAAATAATACAATATATAATAGAAATTGTTTAGAAGGACTTCTACATCTAGAAAGCTTTCTAGACATTTTTCTGGCCACATCAGAGTTTTTATGCCATGTGACAGCAATGGAAAGATCATTGGAGATGCTCTTATGCTATACATATTCCGTTTGGTATTAAACCTGTAAGTCCAATGTTTTTTGCAGGTCTATATGGCCTCATTGTTCGAAAATCAGTACAAGTTGCTTGCTCGAGCAGGAAATAGAGTACAGGAGGTGATAATACCTTATTACTCCTAATTATTTTCAGTACAATTCGTTGAATGAAGCTTTCATTGTATTTAGACCTAGAGAAAAATACTTCTGGAACACGTGCGTCGATTTTTTTCGTTGTTTGTTTTATGTTTTCATAATTCCCAACAATCAAGTAACGAAACTACTTGCACAGGTAATCGTGCGGACCTCCCTGAGCAAAGACGAGCTCAGATATGCTATTATGACGTGCACGAATAGAGTAGAGTGAACAAATCCCAAATAAAATGTCAATGTCCCTAATGAGCGGCCTGCGGATATATGTTATGGCGTGACAGTTTTTATAGTTCGTGTTATATAAATAATTGTGAATTTAAATAATTTCGTTTTCACACGAGACCACCAGAGACCAATTATAGAAAAGCAACGATAAAAGTATTGTGAAAATTTATAGTATTAGATAGTTATTGTAATTTTTACTATTACTTGGAATATCTCCTGCCTGGGCGAGGAAAAATTCATCTGCAAGAACTTACAAGGCCCTTGTCTTGAAGCGATAAAGTCAATGTGGATAGGGATTAGTGCCCTCAAATACAAGGTCAATGTTACTTTTGAATTCTAATTTTAATTTATGGCTAGAAACAATCATGTTCACAATAACAAAAAGGGTCTTGATCTCCGTATTGGTCACAATGTGGATAGGGATTAGTGCCCTCAAAGTAATCGAAGCACAATTGAGAGCATCGATCTGGAGTTACAGTCAAGCCACACACGCCAAGTATCGCAGTACATCTATACATTGGTGGAGGACGTGCACAAACACTTCGTATAATTTCAATATCTGCAATTTTGGGACATACCAAATCAAATGATCTATATTACTTTTCAATACATTCATTTTTATTTCAACTCAAATTTTGATNAAGGGAATTCCGAATATAGCGGCCATGAAGATAAGTTAAAAAATATCTCCTCTGTTATCTAAATTCTAATGATTTTGACTAGAATATTAAATATTAGATTGTAGAAAATTTCAATTTATAATTTATTTACTAAAACAATGTACCAAATATTTACTAAAATATTAACTAACATTGTAGAAAATTTCAACTTATAATCTAAGCTGTAGAATATAAATTCCTTATCTCATCCAATAGTTTACCACATATTTTATTTTGTTATAAATAAAGTAGTTTAGTGAAGATATGCATTATATAGTAAATGTTATAAATAGAGTAGTTTAGTGAAGATATGCATTATATAGTAAATGACTATTGCAATGCTTTTAAGTGTATATGATATTATTAAAATTTATAAAATAAAATTTACATATAAGTTTTAATTATTAGACAGATGTACCGTATTTGTGTTCTTACAGATGGTGTTAGGTACAACTATTGCAGTATACAAACTCCAATAATTGCAAACCGTTTGAGAATTGAACAAAATTTATTTCAAGAATTAAAATAATTGGTATTTTAATATTTTTAGGATTAAATTTAAGTCGTTCCACACAAATAATTATAAAGTATTAATGATATAAGAAATTCTAGAATATGTATTAACATGAAAAAAAATAAAACTAGGTTAAGTTAGTACCTGCTCCAACAAGAAGGCAAATAATGCAAAATCTGGCCGAAAAAGTGACCATTTTAATATTTTGTGCTAATTAATTTATTCTTTTGTTACATTGAAGAAACAATTACCAGGTATTTATATCCAATGCATTCTTTGTCCGTGATAATATAATTGAAATCTAAGTTGGATTCTGAATTCAATTTTTGTGAACTTATAACATGACTTTTTGATAATTAAGATGTTATAACTTCAGATAAAGGTATTTAATTGATTTCAAATGCTGATCGAAAAATTATAGTAAGGTGTACTGGAATCCAGTCAAAATTTATTCAATCTTTCTCACTGAATAAGCAAAAGGTGTAATTTTCCTTACCATTAACTAATTGATTATGGACCAACAAATTCTTTTCCATGTCTTGATATGAAAAAAGTTGACCGGATATAGTTTTGTTGGTTCCGTTGACTACCATCTATTTGATTTCTTAGGTCAGTCCAATGAGATATATTGTAAGGTTAACACTCCACGATAAGGGAAAAAAGATCTCCTCTGTTATTCTAAATTCTAATCTATATAAAAATATAAAAATATTTGGTATTTATTGGAAATAGTAATTAAATTTCCGCCAAAATATTTCAATTTTACTTTTATTAGTAATTTTTAAAAATTGGCAGCCAATTATTTGAAATTCAAATTAAAGAAATTAATGTAATTAATGAACAAAATCATCTTGGTCAAATAGGCTATTACAATTCAAAGTAAATAAATAAAATGTAACTACTTATATAATCGTTTTGGAAATCTATATCTATATAATTGCTAGTAAACAATAAATTTTACCTAATAAATAAAACCTAATAAATTTTACCTATGTGACAAATCATTAATAAAACCTAATAAATAGAACCTAATAAATTTTATTTATGTGGCATTAATACACCCAATCTCATTAATAAAAAAATATTTCATTATATTTTTTGAGTTAATTAAGACAAAAACCATTATATTTTATGTTAATTGATTAATAATTATATTTTTATTGAATAATATAATAGTTAATATTAAAATTAGTAATTATATTTTATACTAAATAATACATGAAAGTTACATAAAATTATATTTTACACTAAAATCAATATTTTTTTTATATGATCAAGATGTTTATTAATAAATTATTTTTTTTATGTCATAGTAAAATTTCTTAAAATCACATAAGCAATTGTTATAATAAATGTAATATTTTTCAGCTAATTAATTGGTCATGATCACTCAAAAATATAAAAAGTATATATTTATTGCATTTTATGCAATCAATATAGTGATTCGTATACAATCAAATCGTGTGTACTATTTATTTTAACTAATGATCAAATTTTAAAATATAATACTATTATATAATTTATAATTTTAATATTATATACATAAATATAACTTATAATACTATATGTTTGAAATATAATATAATTATATAATTTATAATTTTTATATTATATACATAAATATAACTTATAATTTTTATATTATATACATAAATATAACTTATAATATTTAATTTTATTTACATCTGTGCAAATGCACAAGGTCGAATACTAGTTTTTATTTATTATGAAGACATTTGTGTTTTAATTGCGGTATAAATGAAGATAATTCTTTAATTAAAATAATTAGCCTTTCACTATACATGATATTCGGAAATTTCATTTTCCGTCCGAATCTTACTATGGAACCGGAACGGTGGTTATGTCCATGGAATAGATCAAACAATAATTACAAAATCTTCAAGTCCATATTTATCTAATACATTTTTTTTTTCAAACGGCAATTATATTAATAACTTAAAAACTCAAATAATTGAATGTGAACAATTATATTAATACACTAGTAATGAACTTGTGCATTTGCACAGAGAAGAATACTTTAAAAACATAAAAATATATAAAAAAAAAACAAAAACAAAAATAAATCATAATTTAATTCATGAAAAAAATATGAATTAAGAAAATAATTGTCAAAATTGATTTTGATTAAATAATTGCTATGGAAGAGCCGTCACAACTATTTTCTTTATGCTAATACACCCGGCCATTTTCGTGAGAGGTTGTGACTTAAAATTTGAGTACAATTTTGTAACTCTCTTGATTGGTTTATGTTCATAATTTATAGAATTCAAGCAAGTTATTTTGTAACTTAAAATTGAAATTGAATGCTGAAAATTTTGGAGGGAGAATAAAATTTAATGTATGAGAATAAAATTTAATGTATGGTAATAAAATTAAATGCTTTGTTACTCCTCTTTATATATATATATAGGTATTTATCTAATACATACTTTTCCAAATTACAAAATTGATTGAATGTGGACAATTTAATTCATTTATTAAATAGTTAAGATTAGTTATTCTATCATATTTTAGCCCATTCGGCCAATCTCGCATATCACACCGAATCTGAAATTATCACGTAGTTTCTATCAACAACAGTCCTATGTTTATACTGGACAAGAAATTCAAGAAATCTATATATATATATATATATAATAATTATTATTTATTAAAAATAGTAGCCAAAAATTTAGAAAACATTTAATACATACCATTTTTGAAAACTTTTTAAATGTATGTATTAATTGTTTCCATATACACGTTTCAAAATAAGATCAAATAAAATATGATAAAAAAATTATTTAAATAAATTTATTAATATCTGCAATATTTTCATTGATATTTATTCTAATAAATTACAAGATTGATTTTTTGTGATTCATGTTGATAATAACTTGGCCATGGTAAATATATATTTATTAATATTCGTAATACTTTCATTGATATTCATTATAATAAATTACAAGATTGATTTTCATGATCCATGTTGATAATATTTTGGTCAAGATAAATATTACACCATATTTTAGGTTCTAACCATAATATTAATTTTTTTTTTCACAAATACTCACTTTTTATACAAAAATATTTATGAAAAATCGTAACAGGTTAGGTAGAATTTTTTTTCCAAGTAATCAGACAAAATCAAGTTGGTGAATTAATCTTTGCCAATATATTTTTTTCTTAAGATTTATTTTGTTAAATATAAAAAATAAATTGCTCTTCAAATTAATATAATTTACCATTTAAGAGATAATGACCAGATACATTAAATAGTTTACTAATGGTAAAAATTAAAATTGAAATATATTAACTATTTTTTAGAATTTATTTGTATATTATTGACACCATAATTATTTTTTTTTATTTTGATTTATTTCTATAATTAAATTCTTGTAAAATATATTTTCATTGCAGAGTATGTTAAATAAACTATAAATCCTTATAATACGAATTAGAAAAATCTTGATCATAGAAGGGATTGAGTTTTTGGCATTTTCTAAATCAAAGTTGTTTACATAGTATACAAAATTAAATTCTAAAACAACATGTGTATATTTTGTAAAATATTTATATACTAATTATTTTTAAATTTATTTACATATTTTAAATTGAATACATAAATAAATAATACTAACGTGCATTAAATATTTTTTATTGCATAAGATAAAAGGAAAAAGAAGAAGTAGAACTTCTATAACTTTATAAATAATAATGACATTATATGACAACAAAGTTTATAATAAAATAATAATTAAGTATTATATGGTGAACAAAGAATTTTCTCTTATATCAAGGAATAAATATATATACTAAAATCAAATTTATATTAGTATAAATATGTTAGTGAGATAATATATTAATTATTTTACAAGCTAGCCTAATATGCTCATATTTAATGTTTTGATTAAAAAAACAACGCTGATTAAAAGAGGTGCAAAATAGATTGTAATTTTATTATTTAATACACTTAATGTTGATTAAAAGAGGTGAAAAATAAATGATATATACTTAAACGGACAAAGTCTGTGAAAATAACTCATTTAATATTTATGTCCCGTGCATCGCACAGGGTACGTACTAGTCGGATTTAAAAACAAAAACAAATTCGTCAAAACTTACATTTTTATTGCTCTCAGATTACGAAATGATGAATGCAAAACAATAGTAGCCAAATTTTTGTTAACCCAAATCAATTCAAAACAATAAACAAGCTCTTACAACCACACTCAAACAGAATCACCATAAAAATAAAAAAAGACACCGCTCAACAGTAA